GCGGCCCGACATAAATCCTGCCGCGATACTTTTAATGAAATTTCAATGTTGTGCGGAAATGTGTGTGTGCGAGTGTGCGCGTATGTGTGTGTGTGTGTCTGTCTTTACCTGGCTGGCTGCCTGACAACTGACTGTTTGTCGATTTAATTTAAGCGCTTAATGAAATTTCAAGCCGCGTCACTTGCAGCTGCAATGCAACAGGCCAAACAGACAGACAAACAGTCAGATAGACAGACAGACAAACCGTCAGATAGACAGACAGACAGACAGACAGGCGACTGAGAACTGAGGACTGACTGGTGGCAAGTCTTGGCAATACTTTCGTGCGTGTCTCTCGTGTGTGCGAACAACTTAATGCACTTAGCGCGCAATGTTGGTCGATTCGAAAAATGACAACGCTGCGTATGCGGATGCTGTCATATAATTCATATAGCTCATACGCCCCGTTGGCGTGCAATGAATAAAACTTTTACGTCGCACATAAAAAGCATTTTGTGCTTATGCAAATGCAGCATGCTAATTTCGCGCCGATTAGCGAGCGGCAGCTTTAACAAAAATAAAAATAATAATAATACTTAAATGGATAAGAAAAAATAAGGAGAGAGACGACACAGTCCCGCCCCTCGAGTTGAGTGGCCGGACGCTGTGTAATATTTCAGTGTGCCACGCGCCATTGACTTTTCAGAGACGCCACAGCAATGTGGCCTGGCCGGCGTGTAAACCGATTTGCAGTGCGGCAATGCCTTTTGAAACTTGCGCAAATCCTTCTTACGCTTTTATCCTTAATCTTAATTATTGCCCGCCAGCAGACGGCAGCCAGCACTTCCAGACAAACAGTGAAAATTCTTGAGCAGCAGCGGAAAGCGGAAAAAAAAAGCATAGCTGCCACACCCCAGTCCAGTAATTTGTAGTTATAGCAACTGCGCCCTTGTTCCGCCCAACCCCAGCTGAGGCTTGTCTTCATTTGGTTTTTTTTTTTTTTTTGGTGCCTTTTAGCCACCCCGCGGCGCACTTCAAACTTTGTCATGAATTATGATGAACGAGCGCGCGCGGCCACAGAATCCAACGTAAACGTAAAAAACAGCCGCACGTCGCACCCTTTTCATTGAAAAATGAAATGTTTAATGCATTCGGGCATGGTTTTGGCTTCCACTTGGGCTTGGCATGCAGAGCGGACAGGGTATTTGTAGGGTGTGTGTGTGCCGGGCGAGCTATGTCATGGAAGATTTCAGTAGGAAAGTACTTTTACTCGTGTGATCTTAACTGGGTTAATATGTAAAATTGATTAATTACTTACTTTCAATTTACTTTCAATATAAAAGATATTGCTAGTTAAAATTCTTACTTAGGTAACGTGAATTCCATCTTCCGTCTTTTCTCTAAATAACAAATGTTGTTAACTGAAGTTTCGACTTTAGTCGATTGGGGCTTTGAACCCCATTCGACATAAAATAAAACTTAGCTAAATAAAAAATATTATTAAATTGTTTCAATTTGATTCAAGCTTTTGTCTATGGATTCGAACGCTTTTAGCACAGAAACAATTTGCAGCCCGGATTATAATTATTTATGCAGAGTAAACTTTAAGTAGAGCATACAAACTTCGTTTATACAAAATAAATATTTATCACTTTGCCCCTTGTCTAATGCCAAAAGATCTGGCAATGTTTTGGCCGCGTTTTTATTAAGATTAATGATACAAAGTCCGATTAAATTATTAAAACGCAGCACATTCCGCTGTGTTTTTATTTTAATCACTTTGAGACTCAACATTTGCATAATGAAAAATCAACAAAAACCAAATAGAAATAAAACACAATAGAACCCGAAAAAAAAGGCCATTGTCTAAATTTTACTTAGCATTCACTTCAAAGGCGCACAAAATGTTTTGTTTTCTCTGTGTGTATTTGGCACAAAGCAGCTTTTCCATTGTTGCCCGGATTAGATGGTCTAAGAGCAGAGTTATTTATCCGATTCTTGTTGTGCTTTTATTTTGATTTTGATTTTGGTTTTATTATCATTGCAGATGTCAACATGGTGGCCGAGCCGAAGGCGCATCAAATTGGCAGAAAACGCCAGAATGTCAGCAAAACGGGCAACGATTGGTGAGTAGAAAATGAAAACTGAATTAAATAGAAAACAATTTCACAATTCAAAATACAATTTCATGCTTCACATTTTAATTTAAGACAAATTCAAGTTTCTTGCGCACAATTTAATGCGGCCATGTGGCGCTCATTTAGACTTTATTTACATATCATTTAACTGGCCGGGCTGCGGCTCGGCACTAGGCTGAAAGTTTTTCTGGCGAGAGGATAGGGGGTGTTGACAGGCGCACAAATAAATAAATAAATAAGGCACAATCCATCAGAGCATGGACATGGACGTATTCGTATCCTTTGTCTCTGCCACACATAAAATATTTTGGCTGTCAACACTATGCGAGAGGTTTTTTGTTGCCAACTCTCCGACTCCAGCTCTGACTCCCACTTCGATGGCAGCTACATCTCCGTCTCCATTTGTGTCTGGGTCAGTTGTGTGGTGTTTCGAGTGCTGCGTCAACACACACACACTCACACACACACACAAACTGTGAAAAAATGGCGCCTGGCTCTCTGTGACTGTGACTGTGACTGTGACTGACAGCTGCAATGTATGCTATAATATCCTTTTGGCTCGGGCTCCTGGCGCTGACATGTGCACTTGTTTGTCCCTGGCGCTGCCTTAATGATGACTGAGCGAACTACCAGGCGGCGCATTCACAATTTATTTTTTTTTTTTATTATTTCGGGGGGCCAACGTCGACTTGCCACTCGTGTGGAAATATTTAATTTAAGCTTAATGATGCCGAAAGGAAGTGCGTTAAGGCTTTAAAAAGGCACTGACAGCAACTTGATTGTAATTAAAACGCAAACATTTCTCCCTCTGCCGACGCTCAGGTGGATGTTTGGCTGCCTGGCTGGCTGCCTGGCTGGCTGGGTGGCTGGTCCATGGGCTCGTGTTTGTCATTTAAATGCCAGCTCAGTCTATTGACCGCACACAAACTGACCGTAAAAGCCACAATTGCTGTCGCCCCCCTTCTGCCGCACGTCGATATGAAAACTGAACCGAATATTGAACCACAAATGGATACGGACGCTGGCAATTGTATCAATCACAGGCAATGCACACAGTGAGCCAGTTGATGTGGAAGGGGGCGTGGCACATAATTGGCAAATGACAATTGAAACGGCGTGACGGTCACAGGGTGGGTCCTAAACAAATATTGACTGACAGCCAGGCAGCTGGGCAGTTCGACAGGCAACAGTTGGCAGGCTGTTCATTTTTTTTTGTTTTTTGATGTGTTGCCACAATTTAGGGCTAACAGCAGCCAAGTTGACACTTCAATTAGAGCACACAATTAATGAGCTTGTCACCATTTAAATGCCTTGCAGGGACTACTTCTATGACAGCTACTGCTCCTCGGCGCTGCTGCGCGGCGGAGTCGGCGGCGGTGCCAATGGAGTGCGTGCCAAGAAACGCAAGCGTCTGATGACCAGCAACAACAGCCTTGTTGCTGCGGTGCAACAGCAGCAACAGCAACAACAGCAGCAACAGCAGCAGCAGCAACAACATGGCCAGCATCATCACAGCGCCGCTGCAGTGGCCGCTGCAGCAGCTGCAGCGGTGCATCATCAGCAGCAGGCGCAGGCGGTGCAGCAGCAGCAACAGCAGCATCAGCAGCACCAGCAGCACCATCATCATCATCAGCAGCAGGTGGCAGCTGTTGCCATGGCGGCCATGGCCAATTTGTTGCCACAGCAGCAGCTGTTGCTGCATCAGCAGAATCTGCTGTCGAATGCGGCAGCCGTGGCCAGCACGGCGGCAACAACAGCGGCGCCCGGCGCTCTACACTGGTCGCAATATAAACAGGAACAGCAGCAACAGCAACAACAGCAGCAGCAGCAACAACAACATCAGCAGCAGCAATTTGTGGCCGCTGCCACAGGTTTCCAGTTGAAGAGCGTCATCGCCGGGCAGTCAACGACTTCGCCACAGAATGCAAAGTCAGCAATAATTGCTAATCAAACAGCGCTCGTGGAAACGTACGGTGCCTTTTCCCAGCAGCCGTCGCATCACCAACAGCATCAACAACAACAGCAACAACAGCAGCAGCAGCAACAACAACAACAGCAATTGGGCTGCCTGCTGCAGCCGTTGACTTTGGCATTGTCCCCACAGCAACCGCAGCCGCTACAATTGCATAGCCAAATGATGCAGCAACAACAGCATCAACAGCAGCACCAGCAACAACAACAACAGCAGCAGCAGCAACAACAGCTACAGCTACACCAGCAGCAGCAGCATCAGCATCAACAGCAGCAACATGCACAGGAGCAATTAAGTTTGCATCAACACTGGGGACCATTCAAAGTCTACAGTGAGTATTGACTTGATTTGTTTGCATTGTTCAGCTCAGTATTGGCAATTTAAGATTTCTGCATTGATTAGCAATTATTTGCTAACTCATCTCGTATCCAAAGTGACTATATTTAAAATAATTTATTTACTATCTCAAACAAGCTAGCTACATAAGGGGCGGAACTGTAGTAAAAATTGGATCTCTGCTCATATCTGAGCAGTAATTATAATGATAAAACATAATGATAAATCCAAAAACGATTTATCAAGAGTAGAAAAGCTTAAGACATATACGATGACAGTAAGAGAAGCCCAATTGATTGACTGACTGATTGACTTCTTGAATAGCTGACTAGTTGACTGAGAGACTAACTGGTTGGCTGACTGAGTGACTGACAGACTTATTGACTGTCGGCCTGATTGACGGATTGACGGACAATATCTGATTGACTTACTAATTGCCTCTCATTGAGTGATTGACTGACTTGATTGACTGATAGGCTGATGACTGAATGATTGGCTGACTCATTGATTGATTGACTGACTGACTAAATGATTGTCCGACTTATTGAATGATTGACTGACTGATTGACGTGACAAATACACGGACTGATAGACTGGCCGATTGATAGAATATCTGAATGATTGGTGTTCAACGTACAGCTCTAATCCTTAAAGCTACGACAGCTTAAAGCAAGCCCAGCTGCTATCTGTATATATATAAGGTCATCTCCTAGTCGGGCAGCCTCGATTGGAGTAGAATTGCCTTGTTAAACTTGTCAAAAATGACGCCTGTTGAGGACGATGAACCGCTTGTGTCTCTGAAAATGAGAAATGTGTCAAAGTCACAGGCTAGGCGCTAATATATATCATTTCGCCGTTCTGATCGCAACTATCCTGCAAGTCGTCCACCCCGAAGAGCTACATCCGCCATTTCAGGCACAGTCTCAATCGCAGCCAACGCAAGCTTTTCCATTTGCAGTACAACAACTGCACCGATTGCCGCCCGCTTATCTAAAAGGACTGCTCACCCTCAAGGGCAGGCTGCTGGCCAACAACGTCCAGTTAAGGCCCGCCTACAATCCCAACAGCCTCAATAATCCCAACAACCTGAACAGCCTTCAGTGGCGTTCACAGCAGTCGAACGTGGAGCAGAACAACCTGCAGCTGAAGCCTCCTCTTGGCCCGAACAGCCCACAGTTGGGCTCGCAGCTGTCGAACGTGCAACATAGTTTTCGTGAGGCGATCTCTGATCTTAATTTGGGGCTCGACATGCAGCGGGAGGAGGCGGCCAAGGAGCGTGCCGAGGCCAAGGATCGACTGCACGAGCAGCTGAACCAGCTGGAAGCGGATCTGCAAAAACAAGATAATCAGCTGCACCAGCGGGAGCTGCTACTGGCTGCGCATGTGTCCTCAGAACAGCCTCAGCAGCAGGAGCAAATGCATGAGCAATTGCCATACGAGCAGCTCGAGGTGCAGTCGCCGAGCAGCCAGCCCCTGCAGTCGCAAATTCAGCCACAGTCCATGGGACTGCAGCCGACAGTGCAGTCGCAGGCGCAACAAGAGCTGTCCGTGCGGGATTCGCCTCAAACGGACGGCGGATCAAGTAACGATGCCAAGATGCAGCTGCTGCAGCAGCTAGCTGACGTTTTTGGGCAGGAGCAGCAGCAACAAGAGCAGCAGCAACAAGAGCAGCTTAGGCAACAGCAGCATCAGCAGCAGCAGCCGCAGCAGCGGCAACTGCCGCAGCAGCAACTGCCACAAACGCAACAACAACGAGTGCGCTTAAACGCGACGCCGACTGATCCAAAAGAGGAGGACGACGACGACGACAACGACAACGACGAGGAAGACACAACGGATGCGGATGAGGAGGAAGAATGTGACAGCACATTGCCGGCCACCACGGCGACCACAAGAAAGCCCACCACAAAGCCGCCCGAGCATGAGGAGCCCGTGACAATGAGTGTGGGAGTTGATACAACTAAGGCTCAAACAAAGTCCGAACTGAAGCTCACGCTCGTGCCAAAGCCCGAATCGAAGCCCACAGCCCAGCCAACAAGTAGCACAGCTGCAATAAAGATCCAAACGCAGACACCGCGAACGACCACCGCCATGACGCAGCCTAGTTCCACAATAACCACCAGGAAGACCAATAGCAAGAAGCTCAACTGCTGCACCAAGCCTCAATCCAAAGTTGTCAAAGCGTTAAAGCTGCTAAGTCTCAAGAAGGAGCAGCGGCAGCCACAGCAGCGGGTCCATCGACGTGCCAAGAGCGGCATCAAGCCCGATCTGCGGATCGAAGCAATTGCCACATTGCTGCAGTATCGCAATAGCCACAGCGAACTAGCTCATACCGAGCATAAGGAATCGGTTCGGGTGAAGGAGCCACAAGTCCAACAGACACGCCCAGGGAAGAAAAAAAGAAAACAAATGAAAAGGCGTAAGATGATGTCACGCCAACAACGCGGCATCGTCAGTAGAAAGCAACTGCTGCAGGCTGAGACCAAAATATGGCCCATTAAGATATCCACCTGAGACTTGTATAATGGGCATTTTTATTTACGATAAATATATTTTATATTATACAATTTATGCAACAAAAGCAGATTAGAATTTCAGTTAAAATCGTGCTTATTGTAAAGTACCAGGCAACAAATTTACGAGCAGGATAAACAGCAGGATAGCTGAGAAACTATTTTTAGAGGTTAGTGCATGCTAATAACATGTCTCGTGATAAATATACCAAGAGGATAAATAGTGCCGGCTTTTTTAGCCTGATTGCAAACTGAGACTTATAATAATACACCAAGAGTAACTTAACATTAGCTTAGATAAAAGGAATACTCGTTTTGTATTCAGCATTATCTACCAAAAAAATTAGCATGTTAAATAATATGGGTTTAATATGTTTATTCTATATAATACGATTATGGAGTTTTCCCAAGCTTGTTGTAAATTTGAACTTGTATGTTTTCTGGCAACGCCAAAGTCATCAAAAAAAATTTAACCAGATTAATTTATAGTTAGTTAATGACTTATCATCTTTACTAGGCGTGATTGCTTTTCATATAGTTCCACAATTTCTATGTTCCATCGCCAACAACTAACTCATAATTATTGCATCAAAGTCCATATTTTATGTGTGTATTTCTTCTTTATTCTAGGCAATCCGGACACATTAATCTGCGGCAACTGTCGGGAATGCTTCAACGAGCTGTCTGAGTTATTGGACCACAAGAAAAGTTACTGCAAGCTGAGGTTCACATGCAAGTGCCAGGATGTGGCCTTTGCAGCAAGTAAGTCTTACAATTCCTCACGGGGGGGCGTGGGCGTGGGCGTGACCATTAATTTATGATTGTTAAACACTTTTTGAGCCCCTTCTCTGCGTCAAGTGTCCATGTGTCTGTGTTTATCTAAGGCTTCGGCCTTGTTGCAAGTCAGCAACATCTGTCTGTTGTTGCGGCTGCCAGAAAATTCATTTAAAATTGAGTTATTTATGCGAGTCTAAGCCAGCGCCCAGTACGCAAAATTCCAACTTAAATAACTAATTAATTCTTGCATGTTTCGCCCACACCACCAACGCACACACAGAAACGCCGCCAACGAGCGCCAAATTGCTTTGCGCCGTTTGCAAGGATGCATTCGCCAATCCCTGGGATTTGATGGTGCACGCACAGGCCGCACACATGGTTAACATTTACGAGCTGGGCGATGAGGTCGTCGCCAACGGCAATGGCAACGACAACGGCAACGGCAACGGCAATCCCAGCCCCAACAACAACAATAACAATGCCAACGATCCGACTGCAATTGCAGCCAATGGACATGGAATGGCCACGACCGTGGCTGTTGCTGTTGCTGATGATGAGGCAACAACCATAACAAAGCACATGCCAACGTCAGCAACACTTAACAAGGAGCCAAATAACAATAACAAAATTAGCAACAATAACAACAACAACAACAACAACACCATCATCAATGGCCACATGTCACCCACAGCCCACGGCAACAACATTGCCGCCGTTGCTGTTGCAGCAAATGGCATTGATGTTGCTGCTGCCGTCGAAGCTGACGCCGACGTCGACGCAGCTGCCACTGCGGTCGTCCACGATGGCCAGGCCAGCAGCGATACGGAGACATCGCACTGCATGGACATCAAGTTTGGGCTCTGCACCAGCCCCAAGGAGGTGCGTCTAATGGGCCGCCAAGTGCCGTTTCTTTTGCTAGAGTCAAACGCTTTCTTCTTGCAGGATCCGCAGCGTGACGATCTGTCGCTGGATGGGCGCCTGTCGAGCAGCTCACAGACCCATCACTCGGATGACATCAATATGAATATAAAGCTTATTAACGGTTCGGTGTCCTCGCGCGGCAGCTCGCCCGGCTTGGAGTCGGATGAGCCGCCGGCAACGCGCGCCTGCATTGTGCGTACCCTGAGCATTGTGAGTATGGGCAGAGAAACTTAATATTATTAATATATTAATATATAATGCAACTGAATGATTGTCCAACTGATTAACTTAGACTGCCCGATAGACTGACTGATTGACGGGCTGACTGATTAACTGATTGTCCGATATATTAACTGAGTAACGGAATCAGTTATTGATGATTGACGGAGTGATTGACAGGAGTGATTGACAGCTAGGAACGAGGAACTGATTGTCGGACCGACTGACTGATTGACGGACTGACTGACTGATTGAGAGCTGAAACACACCGCATGAGCTGGATGAAAGCATCTTATTTTGAGCACTTTTTTTGGAATTTTCCTATTGAAAAACTTTGTTTCAGTCGGCTTTCTGAAACAACTATAAACTATCGTTGTTACCTTGTCATATTTTCAGGAGGCTGCTGGTGCTACGACCACGCCCACTGCGAATGCCTTGAGCCTGATGTCGAATGGCCTCAGCTTAGCACTGGCACCGCAATAGGCCAACTAAATATAACAATCAGGCTGGACTTAATTAGAATCAAAAGCATGTGAATCAGAAACCAGATATATTCAGAGTTTAGGTACTATAATATTTTAGATTTGTGTGCAGATTAAAAGGGTATTTCAAATACTCGTGTTGCTTTTTGGCTTTGTGTATTGTGAGTGTAGTCGTGAGTGCGGTGCAAGTGCAATTTATTCAGTATTTTTGTACTAGACTAAAACTGAGAACAATTTCAAAACAAAAAAAATATGAACAACATAAACGTAAATTACAGCAAAACATATCATTTTAAATGTAGCAACTAGGTATTACAGTAGCTATAACAAAATAATATTTATGTGTGTATGTACCAAATACTAAATACGCCTGTCTTGTCTTTCTGTTCGTTTTCGATTTTGTTTTCGAAGCAAAGCATATTTTGGGTTTCAAAACTGCATATGAGAACATATAGGTAAAAAAAAAAAAAATAATTATTAAAAAATAGCTGAAAATAGTCCTCGAAAGTTGTTTAAATACAGTTTTAGGGCTAGTTAAATGGCATTATGTAGGAGAAATGAGCTTTGTATATAGTTACAAATAACAAATGAATTAATTATTGTTAGCCGACAGAATAAACCCAAAACCTTTATTTTATATACATAACATAATTTAACTAATAATTAATATACATATATATATATATATATATATTTAGCAAGCCAACAATATTATTATTCAAAATACGTACCATGTGTATCAAATGTAGCATAGTGACAACAGGTGTTTCAAAAACAACAGCAAAAAAAAAAACAACTAAAAAACCTTTTGCAAACTGTCCCCAAGAAAAACCAAAAGGCTTAAAAGTTATAATTACATAAACGAATTAATACTTTAAATTAATATATGTACTACTTACGTACACAAGGAGTAGCTGCTATGTAAATAGTTTAGTTATATACCACAAATGAAAAAAAAAAAAAACAAAAACAAAAACAAATAAATAAGTATATTGTAAACAGTAACAACATTCAATTCAGTGTCCTCCAGTTAAACATGTAAACAGGCAAGAAGAAAAAAGAAAGTGTATTTAATAAATGAATATTATAAAAAACAACAATTTGAATTGCTTGACCTTTGGTTCAAAACAGATGAACCAAGGTGGCAAATCGGATTTGAACCCAGCTGGTTCAAACCCTGAGCTAATTACTTTTTTACTATTAACCGGTCCTTTGACCGGATTAGTTGAATACAAAAGAGACAAACATTTTTTCCTAAAACGTTTTTCAATATTCTGTTTTTTTAAATATTCGAATATTTATTTGTTTTAATTTTAAATATGAATATGAAATATTTGTTATATTTGGTTAAGTTACAATTAGTTTTAATTTCAAATTGAATTGTTACAAATGTGGAAGTATTTGGTGAGTCGAAGTTCTAAATTCGGATTCCGGAGGCAATTCTATTTGGCTTACAGCACTGCGAAATACTTTAAGCCAGGATCAAAATCTTGGAGAAAAGTGAAAGTTGCCCAACAAATTTCAAATGCAAACAGGCGGCAGGAACTCTCCGGCGGAGTTTTCAGTTTCGGAACACATTGGAAATTCTATTTGGAAGCTCATTAAAATAAATGATGATCAACTGCACACGACGACGACGACGACGCAGTCTGTAAACAGGACAACAACAAGGACATTGCAAACATTGTTGAAAGCACAGCGTCACGTTAATGAAAAGCGCCAACAAAAGGTGAGTCAGTGTGGAGGGGCAGGATGCTCGTCCTCAAAAACTTTCGGCACACAATGCCAAAATGCAGTTAACTTTATTAAAATGCGCAACGAAAAGGGCAACTGTTTGTTGTCCTTGCCGCTGGGGCAGGAGAACCGCCGGCACCCAAAAAAAAAAAAAAAATAAAGGGAACACACACAATTTTATTGCCGCTTAACTGCGGCTCCAGCTCAACATGGCGACTGCGTCTGCATCTGTAATGTGTGCCGGCCGTTTAGTTTCTGTTTCGAGGTCCAGCTAAGCGTCTGCGGTCGAGTCGAGTCCAGGATTTAAAATGCATGAGCAAAGGGCGCAGGCAGCAGGCGCAGTCAGCAGGCAGAGGCACTGCAGCAGCCGCTATTCAATTTGGACGGGGTTTGGCAAAACTTAAAGTGCGCAGTGGCTAATTAGAATGCCTCGCCCAGTTGCCAGTTGCCGGTTGCCCCAGTCCAGCAGGGCGGCTGCCGCAAAGGTAACATTTAGCCAGTTGAAATTACGAGTGGCAGCTCCCGTTGGGTTGGGTACCTGGTCGCAAATTACGCGAGCTTAGCCAATGAAGTAATTGAAATGACACCAAAAACTAGCGTGAACTAGCAACATTTCACACTATTCCCACACACACACACACACACACACACAGACGTTTCACACGGCGTATGCGTGATGCGGCAGCTGCGTGCGCGTCTACGTCTGGTTCCTTGGGGGCTGGCAGTGCATCCCAGTGGTATAATAATGAAACGCCCGTTCAGCATAAGCTATATAAAGCGAGGACCTGGCAGCCGCTCGCCTGATTCAGTCAACGTAGCCGGAACGAGCGGTCATGTCGTCGAACAGCACACAGCCACAAACGCCCATCAATGGACTGGAGGTGCCCAGGCAGGCGAATCTTGGTGCGCTGGCCACCTCGAATCAGTGGAAGCGTGCGGCGCTGATGGC